CCGGCCTGGGTCCTCCCCAAGGGGCCGGGCGTACCGCCGTGCCCATGGAGAACGCGCACCGGCGAGCGTGTGGCTGAAGGGCCATCTTCCACGGTACTTCGGTTCCTGCGGAGAAAGAGGCGGTCAATGGCTTTAGCACACGCTGACTGAGAAAGTGATGGATCCACGGGGCAGATGAAATGATTTGACGTGCCCTCCTCTTCCTCCTTTGTGTCCCTGGGCAGGAGTCTGGACTACCCTGCTGATTTGTTGGAGTTGAGGTAATGGCTGAAGTTGGTCGGTGGGAGACGGCTGGAGGCCCAGAGCACGGTCTGGGGGTTGCGCGGTGCCTATGATCTGACCCGCAGCCTCTGCCTTCGCTGGGACTGCCAGCATGGGGAACAGTGGCTCAGCCGTGAAGGTCTGCACAGATCACCAAGGAGGCATCAACTGGCTGAGCCTGAGCCCGGACGGGCAGCGCCTGCTCACGGGTAGTGAGGATGGCACTGCGCGGCTCTGGAGCACTGCCGACAGCCAGTGCCATGGCCACTTCCAAGGTACAATAGCTTCTTTTCGCCTAGTTTTTGAGTTTAAAGCATGGTACGGGCCACACAGCATGTTGTGGTCTCTCTGTCCCAGCAGCCTGCCAGGCAGCCAAAATCATGCTTGTTATGTTTTGTGTTTTTCTGAATATTTGTTACAGTAATATTAAGCAGAAGCTGTTTCAACCCAAAACAGGTTACCAGCACTACTGAATGCATGGATCCTTTTATCTCAGGGTGTAGAACATAGCAGTTGGTTAACTTATGTCTCTTTCTGAAAGCCCTCTGTTTTACACCCTGATGAAATATTGACTTTTTGGTATTCTCTCTCTCTTTTTTTTTTCTTTTTTTGTCCTTTTAACCATCTCATTTTCCAGACAATCTTTATGTAGAACCTCTTGACCCAGAAGTCTGAAAAGAAACATTACCAAATAGGCTGGTTTTTTCCCCACATTTGATGCACAGGAATGTTAATTGCTGGGCTTTTTAATTTTAAATTGATTTTGCATTTTAAACAGAATTTATTATCCTTGGACTAACATCTCAATAATTAAAAAGAAAAACTCTGTAGAAAGTACAGTCACACAGGAGTCAAATGAGAACTAAAGATGTTTGTATTCTCAGTCACTCATGTTCTTTTCTCTTAATACAGGAAAAAAAAAGAAAAACTCTTAAATCTGGAATTTCTAATCCCTTTTTCTTCCTAGTAAGAAATCGTATTGCTGTGATTTTTTGTTGTTGTTTGCTTTCTTGCTTGCTTGCTTGCTTTTAACTATGGAGTATTGTCTTTTTTCCCCACATCCTGCCATGGTTCTAGCTCCTGGAAAACCCACTGCATTTGCTTCAGGCTTAGAAATCCCTTTAAACCACTAATTAACTTTTAACTAGAAAGAGAAATGTATTGGATAATATTCAGAATTTAGCCTACTACTGCTAGTGTTTGGGGTAAACTCTGAAGAAGGTTGACTAGCTGGTTTGTGAACTGTCAGTCGAATCAGATAATTGTATGTATTTTATATTTATGCACACATACAGTTGTGTAAATTTGTATCATACAAGCTATAATTACTGATAAACCTGTATCTATAACACAGTTGCAAGCTTCCACCACAGCACAACCAACGGTCTTCTGTGGTGGCTGCTTTTGACCAGACCAGCACCAGACCTTGTCTGTCACAGCGGGTTTTGGCATCCTTTATGTGGCTCGAGTATTATTGATGGTTAAAATCTGACTGACAGACTTTGGTGCAGTAACCAAGACGCTTTTTTGATCTTCTCAGAGCAGAATTACATGATGCTGTGAGAAAAATCCCAGTGGCTGAAACCTGTCCCATTTAGGCTGCTTTGCAAAATGTTTTCACAAAAACGTGAGGATGGGTATAGTTTTGCTTATAGCCTTGGTCATCTGTTTCATTTTTGGCATCTGGTGAATTTGCTTAAGAGGAAACAAGACGTGTGTTTGTAACATGGATTCTGGTTTGCTTTTGAACTACAGCAAGGCTTTTGAACTACAGGAGTTGTAATAAAATCTGGGTTTTTGCAGTCAGTTAAAGTGTTTTACTGGGCAGTCTGCTTTTCCTCCTTTTTTTTACAATCTCTAGTCTACAACATGATTCTGTTTTTCTAATATCTTTGTCTGTCCATCTGTCTCTCTTTAATCACATTTGTCCTTCTTACATTTTTTTTTCTTTTATTCCAAAGAATAGTGTTATTTAAATCATAGTAGGGCCCACCAGCCTCAACCAAAGTCTGGGACTCTCTTGTAATAGTTATTTAAGAGAAAACAGTTCTGGTCTTGAAAGCTTACAATCTAAATAATTAAACAGTGCCAGATAATACTATCCCAATGATTAGATCGGTGACAACAATTTCACACAAGGGATCTTGGACAAAGCTGGGACTTGAATCCTAAGGTCATTTTTAAATGAGGTGCATTTAATGATACAATAGAAAAATGACACATCTTGCTAAGCAACAATAAAAGCTTAAGGTTGTAACATTGATTCCTCTTTGCTAGCATTACCCTGTTTTTCAACACAAAATTTTTAGAGTAGCAGTTGTGTCTGTTTTTATTGTAACTGTAGACTCCCAACATACTCTGAATACGGTATAAATAATTGTGCTCTTATTCTTTCTTTGTGTGTCATTTCCTTAAATGTATACTGATATTTTGAAAATTGTGGCTTTTATTCATGTTATTAGTCATAATAGGGAAAGTATTGGCTGAGTTTTACCAGATATGTTTTTTTGTTTGCATTTCATTCTACTTGGACAATGAAACTAAACTTGCTGGTAAGTCTCATGTCGCTTCCTTTTTTCATAGTTTAATGCTTTAATTTAGAGCTGTTTGTGTCCTGACAATCAAAGTGCTGGATCGAAATGCAGCCTTTTTTCCTGACTTCAGAAGAAGGAAGCAAAAGCATTTCTTTATTTAAAAAAAAAAAAAAGGCCAATTTTTTACTGATTTTAAGCTTCAGTAGTCTGAGTCTTCTTATACTGATATTAATTTAGCCCATTACGTTTTTTATAATACTGGTTAATTTACCTGATTGGTGGAACTGTACTGTTTTTCACTTAGTCATTACAGCAATAAAGCAGAGTTTTTTGCTGTTAATTAAAAATATTGTGTTTTATACAAATCCTTAAATGTGAAGAACATGGTGGTGCATTTAAAATTAGAGTTTCGGTCCGTTTGTTTGTTGTATTTTAGTTAAGGTAGAGAGCTCGACTGGTCTGTCCCGCTTGCATGCACAGTGATTGAATTTATTTCCTTTGTTATTCCTAGGACACGAAAGTTACATCACCTTTTGCCACTTAGAAAATGAGGCTGCCTTCACGTGTAGCGCAGATCATACCATTCGAAAGTGGGATGTGATGACAGGTCAGTGCCTGGCCATTTACCGAGGACACACATCAATTGTTAACAGGTTGGTTCCGTGGAGTTCTTCCTTTGTGTTGCTTGTAATCTGTTATCGCATATATTGTCATTTTACTGCAATTCTCCATTACTACACTAATAAAATGGGTTGTGTAAACCTTTGAGTTCATGCTACACATGTTCTGTGCTGTAATGATTAGTTCTCCTAGCAACAGTGCTGACACATCCATAGACAGCAGATAGGAGAGAAATGAAAGGCACACAGCAGGGGAATTGAATCCAAGGCTAGGAATGAAATTCCAGAAGAAATGATTCAATTGATAACAGATGCTTCTGATAAATAAATTTAAAAACATCACGTCAAGCCTTTGTGTCAGTAAGAGGGATAAAGTCAGGGCTTTTTCTGGAATTACTATTCCTGTTTGCGCAAATGAATTTTAATATTAAACTGATTGTGCATGACTGATGGGCCTGTCAGTTTAAAGTGCATCTTAATAGTTGGACCGGATTTAATTAATGACAAATAGAGTCAAAGATTGTTTTGATTTTTTTTTTTTTTTACACTTCTTTTTTGGTGGGTGGGTTTTTTTGTTCCTTACGAAACTCAAAACACATATGATGTGTAGCTAGATGCTGTAAATAGTTAGGAAGTCTGGCTCTGTCTGTATTTTGGCACTGGCCTGATTTTTGCTTGAATCAGCAAATGGGAATTATGTTCCCTATTCACAGGACTTTGTTGCCAGTTTGAAAGGTTCCAGAGGACCAAACTCAACTGACAAAGATGACAGGTTACGAAGTTCCGTATCTCTGGTTTGGAATGATGAACTGTAGAAATTTTTCTGTTATATGTTTGTGCAGCTACAACTCATTATTTGGGAGGTACAGCAAGTTGAGTTCTTGAGCTATAATCTCCAATTTGCTCTTCAGATCTGTAATAAGTGAGGTGCTCTTGCTCTACCTTTTTTGAGATCCTGGGCTAAGAGAAATTAGGCGTATACTTTTTTTCCCCGGACTCTCTCTGTTTGGTGATGGAAAGATGATTGCCTTTGCGCACTGTCAGCTACAGTTCAGGTTCCTGGAATGTTTGGGGTTTTTTTTGTTGTTATTTTAATCCCAAGCTATTTTCATAGATCAGTTTATAAATAATTATTTGTAAAGAAATACTAATAGATAATTATCAAGAATGAGTTATTAAAAAAAAGAAACAAACCCAACAAACCAAACCAACACAACAAACTCTTAGTTAGTGTATGTAACATATGAAAAATACATAATAGTGCTGCTGGAAGAGGTTTTATAAAAACACAAATGCCCAAAGTTACAATGCTATAGTGTAAAAATGTCTGCATCAATGTACCTGAATAAATGGTCTCAATTTTAACAGTAGAAACAGGGAAGTGTTTGTTTTAAAAAAACCAAAACACCAAAACCCGTAACAAATCCACCCAAAAAGTTCATAAATAATGTGTATCAAACAGTGACGCTGAATTGAGGTTATATATGGTGTCATGTTACTGTTTCTAACTCCAGGGGGCTTAGCATTGAAATTGTGAAAAAAATGGTTATGTAAAAAGAACGATACTGTTCATACATGCAAACTTGATTTTTTGCAGGATCCTGGTTGCCAAAGACTATCTCTTTAGTGGCTCCTATGACAGGACAGCCCGCTGTTGGAGTGTGGACAAGGAGAAACAAATTCAGGAATTCCGGGGCCATCGGAACTGTGTCCTGACTCTAGCTCACTATTCCTCCAGAGATGTTCTTGAAGAAGAGGAGGAGGAAGAGGAAGAGGAGGACAAAGTGAGCAGAGACCTCCTGGTGACAGGTAGCACAGACTGCACTGTTAAGGTCTGGTGGGTGTCCAGTGGGCGCTGTTACCAGACTCTGCTGGGACACACTGGGGCTGTCTTATGCCTTATACTTGACGCACCAAACAGGGAGCTGTTTTCTGGCAGCACGGATTATACCATTCGAACGTGGAATATTGTCACTGGTGAGCAGTTGAAAGTGTTCAAAGAGCATCAAGGATCAGTAATTTGCCTAGAGGTAAGAACAGAGGCTTCTTCAAGAGCTGTTCGAAAGGGGTATCCATGTCATAACTCAAGTGGGTCTCCATTGTCTTTTCATTCATAAAGAAGCTCTTCTTAGACAGGTGTACTCTTCACTGGATAAAAAACTGGCTGGACAGCTGAGCCCAGAGACTTGTGGTGAACGGAGTTAAAACCAGTTGGTGGCCGGTCACAAGTGATGTTTCCCAGGGTTTGGTTTTGGGGCTGGTCTTGTTCAATGTCTTTATCGATGATCTGGATGAGGGGATCGAGTGCTCCCGCAGTAAGTTTGCAGATGGCACCAAGTTGGGTGGGAGTGTTGATCTGCTGGAGAAGGATCTGGACAGGCTGGATTGATGGTCTGAGGTCAATTGTATGAAGTTTACACAAGGCCAAGTGCTGGGTCCTGCACTTGTGTCACAACAACCCCTTGCCACGCTACAGGCTTGGGGAAGAGTGGCTGGAAAGCTGCCCGGCAGAAAAGGACCTGAAGATGTGGGTCGACAGCCGGCTGAACATGAGCCAGCAGTGTGCCCAGGTGGCCAAGAAGGCCAACAGCATCCTGGCCTCTATCAGAAATAGTGTGGCCAGCAGGAGTAGGCAAGTGATTGTGCCCCTGTATTCATCACTGGTGAGGTTGTACCTTGAGTCCTGTGTTCAGTTTTGGGCCCCTCACTACAAGAAGGACATTGAGGTGCTGGAGCATGTCCAGAGAAAGGCAGCGAAGTTGGTGAGGGGTCTGGAGCACAAGTCTTTTGAGCGGCGGCTGAGAGAACTGGTGTTGTTTAGTCTGGAGAAGAGGAGGCTGAGGGGAGACCTTATCGCTCTCTACAACTACCTGAAAGGCCGTTGGTCTTTTCTCCCAAGTAACCAGCGATAGAACAAGAGGAAATGGCCTCAAGTTGCACCAGGGGAGGTTTAGATTAGATATTAGGAAAAATTTCTTCACTGAGAGGGTGGTCAGGCATTGGAACAGGCTGCCCAGGGAGGTGGTGGTGTTGCCATCAATGGAAGCGTTCAAAAAACATGTCATATGGCACTTCGGGACATGGTTTAGTGGGCATGGTGGTGTTAGATTGATGGTTGGACCTGATGATCTTAAAAGGTCTTTTCCAGCCCTAATGATTCTATGATTCTAGGTTATAAATGGTAAGCTTAAACATTAATGTAGTAACAAAATAGTAGTGCTCTGTGGTCTTGAGACAAATCCTCTTTC